CGTCTACAATGCTGTTGTGAAAACAAAAACTTCCAGTCTTGGAATAAAAATCTAGAAATCTGATGAAACAATGGGGCAGTGTAAAAGTGGCTTAATGTGGTTGAAAGCTGATCGAAAATTATAACACTATCAAAGCGGAATTACCTCCAAACACTAGAACCGTAAAATAATTTAACGCATCATCCTATACGATTTCGGTAATTCATGTGCGTGTTTTCGTACTCTAATATCATAAAACCGAGTGCCATGAAAAGTCCCTGATAGAAGTGCTGCATAAGTAAAGCCCAAACTACACCAACACCAGCTTATAAGATTTGTTTCAGAAGTTTTTTATAGATACAAACGTGAATTAAATATCTGTGACCCACTCTCTTCTGTTCCGCGATAAAATTATAATTTTTGACCCATTCATTGAAAAAGGTTCGCCATCCCTGTTCTATACGGACTGTGGAATTGTGAAAGTATCGTTTAATATTGAGATTTGCCTTGAATTTACCTCATCATAGGGGTGCGCGTTTCTTGAAATCTGCCAGATAAGTTTAGCTAGGTTAGGTCCTATTTAGTATTGGCTATTATTGCTTGTTATTATGAATGGTATTTTACCCTTCTTTCATTGCTTATTTATAGTGCATCCGTGTCGTAGTTTTATCGTTGGTCTTCATGTTTCTGTGCTGTAGCAACATTTTACTCATATGTGGCGATTGATGAATACAGTTCGTTTTCTAAGGATCTTGTTGCCTCTTTACTACTTTGGTTGTGCAGTTACTAGAAGCTGGGAGATTGTGCATAATTCTTCAAGGCGGGTACGGATGCAAATAGACTCCACTATGTTGAGTGGATTGGAATTCACGTTCCAACTTTACATTGAAATAAAACTAATATTCGTATGAAGAACATTTTTAATATATTGCAATAATGGCTTTAAATGTTTTAATTGATGAATCATCTGATGACATCGACATTCTTACAGTTCAGGTTCGACAATTTTCATTGGGTCAAGCAATAAAAGATGGTCATCTAGGACCTAGGTCAGACGAATTACCATTATGAACAAACTTTTATGAATTCGAATAATATTTGCACACAATTTATTCTGGATAAACAAAATCGATAAAAGGTTACTCTACATTATCAGAAATTATGCGATCATTTGAATAATTGGAAATTTATTTCGAAAAATATATTACAAATAATGGACCTGATCAACATATGGCTAAATTACACCTTACTCAGGTTGTGGATAAATTGAAATCATGTGACATGATTTACCGCCAAAATTTGGACTCTTGCGTAAAAGAGGCCAACATTAGCTACTTTTCTAGATGATCAATATCTCATTCGTCGAAATCTAAATTGTCTTCGTCATCTTATAGAAGACTGGAGAAATCAAGAATGTTGAGATTTGAAGCAGAACAAGAGAGAGAGTTAGCGGAGTTTAAAGAAAAGTTTAAAGAACACCAAGCTCAACTACTTGATGAACTGTCAAGTGACAGAAACTCTTCTACCTCCAAGTCAATTTTGCATTGTAACACCGTCATCTCAACAAAAGATGGCAATTGGCGTCACTCAACTGCAGTGAGTCAGAGACCTAGTTCAGTTCCACTTTTGTCCAAAAATAATTTGGAAAATGCAGGTATAAATTATTACTTGAATTCGTCTTTTAATGTTTTACAACCATTGTATTGCCCAACGTCTGCTGTTCATGCAGTTCAGTCTTCAACCCCATGCAGTGTTGTTGATTCTAACCAATTTTCCATTGTTAATGCAAATGTTTCACAGTTGCCAAACAGTGCACCTAATTTTGTTGACATTATTTTTCCTACTATTATACCTACTACTGTGATTAGCACAGCAGCTATAACTGTCTCTGATAGTTTTACGGGGCCAGTGTATTCACAACCTATGGTTTCTGTCCCACAGCGGATTATTGCGCCAGCTGATTCCATGTATTTTGATTACAATCGGCCAGACGTATTTTCTCATGCCCTGTTTATACAACCACTGTTCATCAGCACATTTATAAAGCAACTTACTGAAGGACCGAAAATTCGTGTAAATGACGTTGAAGGACTTACGTAACGTAGGACAGATGCGTAACTGTTCTATTGTGTTTGACAATTGGAATGCACGGAATTGATTTGAAGCCTCTAAAGTCGCGCTCTAAAGAACCATTACATGCACCTCAAACTGAAACAACTTCTGTGAATTCTATGTCTGTACTCAACACTTTGTGCCCTGTTTGACTCGTGGCTGTTGCTGTTGAAATACATCTACCTGACAGACGTGATAAAAAGAAAACGAGAATATCGGTCGGGGACCGAAGACTTATCGATCGAAACTGCGGTTTCGTTTCATGACTCTATAGTGACATCGCGTGTCCCATCACTAATTAATTAATAACTCGCTAATTATACGACATATTCATATACGACATTCATCCAAAATCAATAGGCTTCTGGTCCGAGATATGATGAATGCACATGCAAAATTTGGAGCAGACTCAACCTTGTTTTCGTGAGATATCGCGTGTATCTAACAGACAAACACACAAACAAACAGACAAATACCTATCAACATACTTACCGATCTTAAGATCGATAAGTAACAATTGCTTTCTTGGATCTAGGATTTCAAAGATCATTTTGCTATACTCGTCTTGCGAAATCTATTGGCCTTTCTGGTAAACCATAGCGTTGCATGATACACACTACAAATGTCGTTGCTGTTCATATTGGAGAAAGAGTTTCATTTCGTCTGAATGGCGTGAATAATACTAACATTGTTGAAGTACATAATGCTTCAACTTTTGACAAAATTCCTGACGTCAGAGATTTATTTCCAAAGCCAGTTATAATTGACAAATATCCTCATTGGATGGTTTGAAGTTCCCAGATATTGATGACAATGTTGAACTATTAATTGGGGAAGATACCTTGGGTAATTGTCCATTCACGGATTCCAGAGTTGAACCACCTGGCACTCCAAGTACCTTGCTTACATGCCTTGGACGGTGTCTCTTTGGCAAAGATCTATCGATGAAAATTCCCTGAATTAAATTAACACTTCTGTACCTATGATATCTGATGTACAGAATTTACAAAGTGATGTAGTTGTGAATTTTATTTCTACTACTCTTCCATTGCTATCATTCAATGACACTACTTGCGATACTTGCATGTTACCTCAATGTCTTCCAGAAGAAGATCATATTTTGCAGGAGCAAGAAATTGCATGTGATAATTCACAGACATCTACAATTAACAACCATGAACTATGTCGCAAAATCATTACAGAGCAGGAAGTGACAGAGAGCAGCAAATTCAACAGCTGTAATTTTTCATTTATTTGTTCCACCTTGCATGATGATATTCTGGATGAGAATGATATTAACCGTGAAATTGCTGTCTGTCAAACTTGTGGAAATGATTTCGCTGACATGAATGCAGATCCATTGACAACACAACCTTCTTTGGACGATGAAAGAGAAAATTATGAGTGATACTTTGTAGCGTGTTGATGGACGATTGGAAATTGGTTTATTATGGAAATATGATGATATTGATCTACCGTACAACTATAACATGACTCTCAAACGCCTCATGTCTGAGAAAACTCGTGCAAAGCCACGCCCACTTCTATTGTTTTTTGGCGATTCTGAGGCATGTGAATGGGGTTTTGGCCAAAGATTTGCCCAATTCTCGAAGAGTATAATTAATTGAAGTTTTCTTGACCGAGAAACCGGTGTTTCCCCCTCCCAATCGCCCTCCAGTGGCGTAAGAAGGTGTACCTAAAAATGAAGCTATTGAGAAATAAAATAGATAGGCGTAATGAGGAAAATTAGTTTGACATTTTTTTGCGGAAATTTTTTTTTTTCACTTCCCAGTCACGCTTTAGTGATTTATGCTTATCGCGGGCTTCTGAGAGGTCGTATCAAGAATCTAAAGGCATGGGCATGATAAGAAGATTGATTTGAATCGGTTTTAGGTGGAATTTTTTCCCTCCCACCCCCCCAGCCACGCTACAGTGATTTTGAGCCATATCTCGGGAACGGTAATTGATAGAGGTGACATATTTGGGTCATGCCGGGTAATTAAAGTGAATTTCATGACAAAAAATTTTTGTCACGGTTGAATGATCACGTACCTTTAAAGTGATAAATATCAACTCCCATTGGTGGTGATCAGTATATAACCTGATAGTTAAATTATTTGATGGACTAAAAAAATCGGCGGCACCGTGCCGGACGAATGCCGTCATTTGTCCGGCGCAACGACCCGGGTCCTCCAACGAACCCCGAAGAAACGTTTTTTTTTAAATTTACTTAACATATCTTTGTACATTTCTCTTCGCGGGTAGCGTAGCGACCGTTCCCTAGATGAATATATGAAGAATAGATATGCTGACCAGATACCAGAAGATGAATTGGCACCTACAGAGAGAAACTGGTTTATTCCACACCATGCAACAAGATTGAAGTTTCGTGTTGTCTTTGACAGTTCAGCAGAGTTTGATGAAATATCATTGAACAAGAATTTACTATCAGGACCTGATTTCAATAACTCATTAGTTGAAGTTCTTCTACGCTTTTGTTTGAATCACATTTCTGTGTCGTGTGAAATTCGACAGATGTTTCACAGAATTTTGATAAAGCCGAAACATACACAATCTCTTCGTTTTGGGCAATCAAAGGCAATCAAGTCAATTTACAAAACGGCTAATGTACAAAAATATACATGTGTGAATGGATCTAGCCTGGAAAGGTTGCCCGGTTGTTGTCGATCACTGATTTGATATATACGTTTTACAATTATAGCAAAGAAATATAACATGTTTAAATTATTTTCTTGTCAGATTGAAACGATAATATTGATGGAGACTAACCAAGGCACCTAAGCGCCCTAGGCTAGTTCAGTAAATCATCTCCAAACTTGTTTTACCACCTCGAACATATTATTCAGTAAAAAATTATATAATCGAAGTTATACGATCCTATATTGCATTCTGCTGTTAGAACCTATTTCAAACAGGAGATGAAATAGCCTCAATCCGATATATATTATAGTTATAGTGTTTAATGTAATATAAGAAATTGTGACGGTTTCAGCAAAGCTATTAATATTATTTCTCATAGTCAGATAGATATAGTAGAAAGAAGTTGTGAAAATGAAAATTGCACCTTGTTTACTGTTATGCTTTGGACTTTTAACAGTTTGCAATGGAAGTAAGTATTTTGTGTCATTTTTTATTATCTCTTCGACATGCTTCATACTCACATGAGAAAACTCAACGGCAAAAAACGAAAGTAGTTTTTCAGCAATATTTATATATATTCAATAAAAAAAAATGGCATTTTTCAAAATTGTTAGGAATTGTTCTGAACGCGCATAAACCCTCCCAATTGAAATGCCGAGCATCCTATTTTTTATACTTCGGCGCCAATCGTTAGGATAATGGTAATGTAATTAAAATTTACGTTTTCGTAAATGCAGCACAATGAGGCTAACATAGTTTCTTCTTTATCTTAAAATTGAATTTTTAAATAAAATTAAGACGTGGCAAGGGTAGCGAATTTTTCCCATCTACGGTATTTAATATATATATCTCTCAAAGTGATTGGTGTAGCCTAGAGTTCAATTTTTTATTATGTTTTTCATCACCATGTGTTACAATTACGAAACGACCTGTTGGTAATGGCTGGGTTTATGAACTTTTCCGTTTTAAAGATCTGTAACCAGCGCAAATAACACAAATTCAAAATATAATATTGCCTCATCAAATGATAAAAAATCATTCAGGCATGATTTATTTTTTAACTTCTGAATATATGATTCCGACTATTATATACAACAATTGGCAGATATAAAAAGCCTAATAATGATTTTTTTAATGAATTCTCGGGCATGTATATATAATGTTCTGTTTTATATTATAAATATAAAAACCCAGCGTAACATTTTCATGTCTGACGAATACTGCACGTGTCGCAACAAAAATACATTGATCATACAATAAAATATCAATATAAGTAGAATGATTCAACTTGCGATCATATATAATATTATCATAAGATGGCAAAATCGTGTCAAGTCCGAGTCAAAATAAATTATAATCAAAGGTTTTTGACAGTGAATTATAAATCCTTTCTACACCCGACCCATCTGATTGTCTGATGCCTTTGCCTGAGGGTTGAATCTTTGCATGATTATGAGTTTGATATATGAGAATCTCAATTTAGGTGATCGTATCCTGTGCAAAATATAAAATATTTATTGTAAAAATAAAACATTTTTATTATCTTTAATGTAAAAAAGTAAATTTGTTAATTGGTGCCATCTTAATTAATTATTTCTACGAGTTACTGCTTCGGATATCATTTTTTCTTCAGTTTATTAACAATTTTGAAATTAGAAGCCTATGTTACCACATCTTGTGTAAGATAGTTAAAAGCAAATTGGTATCGAGAAAAAACTTTTAAAAATCCACACGAAATAAAGAGTCGCTTTGAACAATTCTTTTTTTTTCAAATAGAGAATTATTGCGAGCCACGTTTCAAATACATTTCATACTGGGTTCAACTGTTTATGGTAAATTAACAAAACACGCTATTAGCAGGAAAGTGTCATACGAATTCAACAAATTAAAGTCATAATGTCGGACTGAATATGATTGTCATAAATATGAGTCAATGGTTGCTCAAAAAGACAAAGTATTTTATCCAGTAATGTAAACCTTCTAAAATGGTTTTGCATTTCTTGTGTAAGATTTTAAACGGAGAGCTTGGTGGTCAACTGACAAGTTTTAACGTTTTCTTTGATCAAGAGTTTTCGGGTATATTATCAATAGTTATCTGGCATTTTCACAAGTCTTATAGGAAGCTACATGTACATATAAATTTTGTCAGCAACATATACATAAGATAACATTACCTTTCGAAAAGTTCATACCCGCGCCAGAATAGACCAATTTCATCGGCCATTTCAATGTCATCCATATTAGAACATTATTGATATATTCGATAAGACAAATGAATAAATTAAATTGTTGTCCGACAATGTCGCAGTACTGATCTTTTTACTATATGCAAACGCATCCATAAATCTCCAAAACATGCCATCTATTTTCGTTACTTTATCCGGTTATCTTAGTAAAACTGATGAAATAATCAGAAATATAGGGTTGTTGTTTGATAACAACAATAACATTTAATTTTGACAGAATGTTGGAAACGAAACAATTGGGGAAGATTCAAGTTTGATTCAGCAAATGCCATAGATCTTACTCATGAAGTCAATGAAGATGCAGCCGTTTGGCCAACTGACTTATCTCTCGGTTACAAGCTTATTCAACATGTTAAAGGTATTCAACTAATTGCTTATTCGTATAAGCATAACATTCTTATCATGTACAATATTTAATTAAATTTAAAAATTACTTCTTTTTATCACAAGATTCGTCATAATGTTTTGACTATGGTTTTGCTGTGCTTATCAAATGCCGGAAAACTATGATCATAGTATATACGTGGGGTATAGTGTACGTATAGTTGTTTCCTCTAAGACTCTTTGCGTACCAAGATCGAGCTTACTTACGGTCCGCTTTCAAGCTTTTGATTAAGAGAGGAAAATCTTGGTTGTATGAAACAACAGTGGTAAAAAAAATCCAGAGATTCAACTAAAGTGATAAATCTTTAAATAACGCTCAAAAATCAAAACGTGGCACTTCACCGGTCGACACAACCCGAACCAAACGGTGGCCCCGGATACCAAAGAAATCAAAGGGTAGTATGGGAATAAAATATAAAATGGGAGTGGGGATAATGTGGAATACCCTAATAAGAATTTGACTTGGTTCGATTTCACAAGCATAAACCGAATTTTTTACAGGAATTGTCAGCAACGGTCCATTCAAATTCTTTCTCGATTCCAACTCATTCAGTGCTAATACACTCACTGGAACTCATGTTGATGCGCCGAGTCATTTCAACGCGGAAAGGAATCAAGTAGCTTATTCTGTTTTTATTTCAACCAAAAACATAAACATTAATGAAACAACAGATTTATCTAACTTTACATTAATTTGGTTTCTGTTTGTCTATATATGTATACAACATTCGTCAGACGTCTTAAAAAATCCCCACTAATTCAAGATATACCTTGATATCTAAAATATGTGTTGTTGTTGCTTAGTCGCGTGACAAACTATCTATTACGTGTCTCCTGGTCCTTGTACTACTGGTTCAATATTTGACCTCGGTCGCAAAGATGATTGAATACTTTGGATTATGTAGAATGAAATTCTGCTCTGCTAATGCGTAATGATATTTTTATGTATTTTTATATTTTCACATTTTGCAATCTGAATCACGTACTATGTATTTACCACAATGTGTAAGAAAAATATACAATATTATTTCAGGCACAAGATATTCATCTGAAGGGAATGATAGGGCCAGGTGTATTAATTGACATGACCAAAGACGGAGTTCCAATGCCACGAGAAGCCTTGATTACAAAAGAAGATATAAGAGCTTGGGAAAGGAAGAATGGTGAATCAAAAACTAATATTTATTTCACTTTCATAGCAAATATGTTCATGCAGCCTATTTTTTATCATCGTACATGATACCGGATATATTCAGCCGTTCTAAACGTTGACAACTCTGTTATGTGTGGTTGTTGACTACATTATCATGTGACTACTTTTTAAAGTAAAGTTATCTGTTTACTGATCAAATGTTACGAAATCCCATACTACTGAATATCCGAACTAATTGGGAACTAGTTTTGATTGCATGTCGCATTAATAATAGTCAACCACTATTATAACACATAAAACCACTGATATGCTGTTCAGAAATGCCAGAAAGAAATTTTGAAAAAATGTTTTATTCTTTTGTTGATGTATTTATTTTATTTTGACAAAAGATACTTTTTGAAGGTCGCATCCGAGAAGATACGATTGTTCTCTTTCGAACTGGTTACGGAGATTTATACTGGAATGACAGGAATGGTTATTACGGAACAAAGGTTCGTGGACCAGCTGCTGCGTTAGATCTTCATGTACCTGGATTGCATTTCGAGGCCGCGGAATGGTTGATAAAAAAAAGATGCATTGCTGCCGTTGGAATTGATATTTTTACTATTGATCGTGGACAAGATTTAAACTTTCCGTAAGAACTCTTTATTCAGTGATATCATTGGTGATAGTTTTATGAGTCTTTCCTGAAAGTATTTATTTTATATTATCAGTGCTTATTGCCCCAAATATGGACTATTCGTATGAATCCATAACTCGCTTATTACTTTGGTATTGCCAACATTTAATGCAGCATCATTTTCTCGACCGCAAATATAATAAAAACAGTTATACGAATATAATACTAATATTATAAAAAGTATTAGTCTTTGTCTCCAAATTTTGCCAGAATTGGGTGGTGTTATAGGTGCAAACAGGTATTGTTTTGGTGAAGAGCCCAAAAAGGAGATCCGTGACGGAAAATGTCTAAACAGGGCATTCGTTTTAATTCCCGATGTTACTTGTGAATCTCGAGCCCTAACTTACGGTTACACTTGCACTTTTTTTTTATCTGAAAATGTCAACGTTATTAGTTTTGTCAGACAAATTTACAAATAAACATTCCCGGCATATTTTGAACAATTTCTAACCAATGTGAGTTATTTTGAGCAAGACGTCCAATTTGAAGAATTAATCAAGTTGGACACTAACGGAATTTTTATTTATAATCAAAAAGCAAAGTATGATTATTACCATTTGACAGAACACATCGAGTATTCGCGGATGCCAATATTGCAGTTTATGAAGATCTTGCCAACCTCGACCAACTTGTAGAACATCAGAAAAAATTCTTCGTCTTCGCAATGCCGCTCAAGCTTAAGGGTGCTGCTGGTTCTCCAATCCGAATTGTCGCCTACCCACAGTAGAAGATTGTTCAAATTGATCGTACTATTAGTACTTTTATACGTACATATATCTTTTAATCGAAAGGACTATTTGGAACTTACTGATATGCTAAATCCCTAATGGTGCTGTTATTCATAATAAAATGAAATGTTTTATTATTTCACCGTGACAATACTTTTAAAAGGAAATGACAAAAGTCTAGGAATGAGGGCATTGCGCTCCGTAGTCCATTACTTTGCACTATTCAAACTACTAACAAGTATTGCTCTAATCCAGTGTTTACCAACCCGAGTCTGCGGTCTCAAATGAGTTCGCGGAGCGTTTGAATGAGTCCGCAACGAGCCAGAAATTCACTGCGGGCCGCAAACGTTTTTGCGAAACTTAACTATCAGCCAAATTACGATTTACGTTAGAATTTACATAAAACACATAACATTAATCGAGTCAATAATTACTGGATACTGAGTAGGACTGGGTATATATATTCGAATATTCAACTATTAGAATAGCAATTTACTATTCGAAAATTTGGTAACAGGTGACGCGACAGGTCACTTGCGCGTCGCTTATATTAAACTATTGTTTTCCGGCGAAAACACGAGTTGGCACACGCGTAGAGATACCTAAGTGGTGTTTATCGCGAGTTCCAACAACAAGGAATAATTTTTCTTCTGGTAGCTGGTGTCAATGGTGGCAACCTAAATTTTCTAAATTGAAAATCGGCAATACAAAATACTAAAAATAAACCGGAGAACACCATAAGTTTTGTTTTATGATGGTCCGAGCCGATTAAAAATGCTTTTTCGGACATTGCAAATCGCAAAATTTCGGGTGCTACCGTAGTATACGTATCAGGGCATTTTCCAGGCTTGTCCATGGGGCATATTTTCTGTCCCATCCCATGGGATTTCCATTGGAATACAATCATTGTTTTGGGCAGGTAACTGAGCACATGCTGTTAGCATTCATAGGTGGAGTGTGGAAATTTACACTAACCACCCTTATAAATTTATTTTTGCAACGTTACTCGCTGCAATAGAATAATGATCATGTTTGCAATAGTATCTCTAAGCAAATGACAGGTACATGTTGGCTAGTATTGTCACGAATGTGTAGCAAATTAAACATTATCAATATTATTAAACCACTAGAATCTAAAACATTGGAAAGACTTAAATCTTGTTACTATATAACTTTTGCGTATCGAAGTGTTGCATAAATAATTTTACTAGTTATAGTGATTGAGTGATCGTGATACCGACGTTTATAGCAAACGATATAGATAGAATAGCTGACTTTTAACTTACCTCGACCTCGATACTCAGCCTCAAATTCTAACAAGAACATCTAACGTGTTGTACAGTGCCATAGATGCCTATATACCCAATATTTCAAGTTCTTATGAAATTACCGTAATTATTTGAAGGACTACAAAGCCTTCAGTCTGTGCAATCACTATTATAACATAGCGCCATACGATCTTGTTGAAGAGTTCAACCATTTTTCTACATTATAAACCAGAAGTTAACAGTTCTTCTAAGTTCTAATGAAATTACCGTAATTATTTGAAGGACTACAAAGCCTTCGGTCTGTGCAATCACTATGATAACATAGCGCCATACGATCTTGTTGAAGAGTTCAACCATTTTTCTACAATATAAACCAGAAGTTAACAGTGTCCATATTCGTGAATAGTAGATATTAATCAACAAGACATCAATGAATATAAAGAAAAAACTTGGATTTAAATATCACACTAAAATGGTTCAATCATAAAAAAATTTCAGTTTCGATTTGGTTTATTTTTTATCTACAATTTATATGTTTCGAGCTGGGTATAATAACTGATAAATGAATTTCATAAAAATAAAATCTGTTGCGTGGATCTTCTATTGTAATTTGAGTACACGGATATTACAACTTTTCCCAGTCCCAGGCATGAACAATTGTTACAATTATTTCTTGACAATGGCGCGGCGTTTTGTGATTTGACACTTGAAATCAGTAAAATCATTTACGAGTTATACAAAATATGATGATTTATAGTTTATTTTATCTTCACAGACCACAACAAGGGTGTGGTTATCATTCAAGGCTATTTCGGCGAATTAACATCGTAATAAATGGCAATTGATGAGATTGAAATATGACAAATTTCTGTAATTTGAAACAATTTGGCTGCTCCGGAACAAACACACACTAGGACATATGGCCAAGTTATAACTACGTCCAAAAATATACATATTCAGGGCTTTATTAAGACTGCACACATGGTAAGTTGGGTTTTTGTAAGTTTTGAATGAGAGCTAAAGTTTTACTACTGTCATTTGGTAATTAGGAGTACGATGACCCGATGCAACGCGGACGTAATGTTTGTTTAACAATAAAATTTATGTAGTTATTTTGCCGATGCAGTCTCTTACACTATTCAAAATGATTTATTAATTCGCATGTTTTATTGTCACAAAGATAATCAAACCCAGAACATGCTCGATTCATTTCAAACCAAGAAAAATTATCAATGCGTGTAGGGGGATTATGTAAATAAAGTAAACACACGCCCATATCGTTTCGAATTTTATGGGAATAGTAAGCACGATGTGACGCAAAATACTGCAATATACCATTTCTAGGAAAAGGCGAGGCTTACGGTAATTATTGAATTTAAAGTTGTATAAATGTACCGTTTTGCATAAAAATATTTTGAAGTTGTAATTGAGTCGTCGGGTGCAAGTTTGGCGAATGAACGAAAAAAATGTATTACTGCAAAGAGTATGTAAAAGTGGACTATGTTCATAAGGACATAAGCGCGTATGTTCAACCGAGTAGTTTAGTTAGAGGACGTTGATTGGTGGAGTATGATAGAACAAGTCATTGCATACATTAATCGAATAAGTGTAAATTTACACCTATAAAACGTATAGGGTAGTCTTTGTTCGATTATGCTCTGCAGAAATGCCTTATTCATCGACATGCATTGTGAATTTCAAAATAACATAGACATATTACATTTCACGATTGGCGGTTTTCGTTCTTCATTAGTAGCACACATATTAATGATCGAATCGAATCACCAAATAATCAATATTAAAATATTTATAAGAACAATCATATTTGATTATTATAGCTCTATAAAATAAGGGCAACGAACATAAATCAGTGCTTTTACCAAATTTTCAAAATTCAAAGCACAGGCGTATAGTATACGTTGTGGAGCAAATTTACACCAACATCACATACTTTTTTATTGCGTTTTCACGACTTCTGTCTAAACGAGCTCACGGGCAATGAGCCTCTTATAATCATGGGGTGACTGAGATATAAAATTACTTAGTCTCGCATATATTACCAAAATTGTTTGGTGCAAGGGTTAACCGCTAGTCATGGCTCTATTTATTTGAACTAACCAACACATTAATCATAGAGCCATCTGTTTATGGAGCTATAAAACTATTAAACTTGCATATTTCCCTATTCTTTAAAACTATATGAGATATTTTAAAGGAGAATTTTGTGTCATCGATAATTATATGTATTTAATTTAATAGCATATCTATTTTGAATTCCCGCTCAACCTAAAATACATATGGATTTCACGAAACTTTTCGCATTTCTCACATTTGTGGCAATTTGTCAGGGACATAGTGACATTGCACAAAATTTAGCTCGACTTATTCAGCACGTTGCAAATCCAGATGAACTGTATATTCCACCAACACGGGAGACGCCTCAGAACAAAGAGAAGACAACGCAGCATAGAGCTGTTGGCGGTGAGTGTTCTAAGTTCATGTCTAATTCGTGTATTTGTATGATGAAAAGTTTCAAATTATTAAGATAAATTTTAAGTCCTCTTTGTGAATACACAATCTCAGTGAAATAAATTAAATAATATGTGACTTCTTAAAATTAATTTTGAAAATAAGAACCACGTCGGCATGCATAGTTCATATTTAATTTATTATTATTCCGGTTTTAGACCAGTCGATTTTGAATTCCAGATATGTATCGTGCAATTATAGAATTCAATACGTTGAAATATTCATTTCAAAAAATCTAAATATACGTGCAAGTTCCTTTTGTCCAAGTTACAGAGACGTCTACAATTTTAAAACAGAAGCTGTCAGGAAAATATTTCCATTTTCAAAATTAATAAAACCTTTGGTTTTGAAATTCCATTTGTCCATGTAATTATTTTATCAAGTATTCTATTTTTAAGTGTCTGGGCTTCAATTAATTTTCCAAATAGATTTTTATATAACTTTCTTTTTCCAGTAATAGAAGAATTGAAGATTAAAAAAAACCTACTATATAAATTTGATTTTTTGATTAAAAATTCGCAATTATTTTTGTCAGATCCTCCGAAAGTTATGACAACGTCAGGCGAAGCGGAAGGTATTTCAAATGACATTGGACACGCGTTTTATCAGATTCCATATGCGGAGCCACCAATAGGGCTCCTGAGGTAATGATATTTTAATTATTAACCTCCTCTTCTCCAAAAAAAATAATCCGTTTAATTGCAATCCACTTCTTGAAGAGCAAGGTCCCAAAGCTGCGTATGCACTATTCATCAAAGTTTAATTCTATGTGTAGTTGCATTTTGCACTGAACCCGATTTTGACGACGACAAAGAAACACTACCACTCATGCAACGACTCATGTCATACAAATAAGCAGGCTTGTGCATGAGACATATCTTTCTGTCCCATTCTCATTTCATAGCAATTATGCCTGTCCCATCTCATCCCATGGGATTCCCATTGGAATAAAATTCAATAAAAAATGTTAAATTTAGGTTCAGCGTCTACTAAATAGGACTACATGTACAAAGGGACATGCAACACGACAAAATTTACCGACTTTGTTAATTTTATATTCATTACTTTTATGCGTGTGTCCATCAGCCTCTTCACGAAGTATGTTGTTGAGACTGAATATATTTTGCTCTTTATAACTAACAAGAGAGCTATGCTCAAATATATGGACACGCCGTCCATTACTAAAAGTTTTACCATCATTTTCCTAAAAATCATACGATTTTCGTGTCCCACGCGTTCCATGGCAAATACAAATGTGTGCTGTCCCATCCCATCCCGTGGAACGTCTCAATCCCATTCCCATGGAAAAACCAACAAATAAGAGAGCAATTGTATGTCCAAACAATGAATTAAAATAAAACATCAAAATATTTATATGAAATATCAGGCTCCATTGGCCTAGTGACGAATTTATAAAAAGAAATACAAGTAATATCCCTCTAGCGCGTTCTTCCGTTTTAGGTACTGAAACCTCTAGTAGTTTTAAAACGAAAAACTCAAGAACCCTAATAAGACTTACAGCAACAACAATTTGGAACGGGATGCATATTTAAACTTATGTCCAAAATGTCCAAAACTATAAAACGGTGCATTGCTTATGTTCATTCATAACCACAACTGATATCAAGCCTTTGAAGGATTAGGGCTACTAATTTCTACATAGATTGACAAACGTGTTTATTGTTGAGAGTACAGAATAAATGATGGCATTACCAGAGCAAAAAACTCGCATTGTTTTCGCAAGTATACAAATATCTTATTCATATCGTAAAGGTGGCAGCCGCCGGTACCAATTCAAAATCCAACGGCTTTCACGGCATCTGTTAACGAAGGACTCCAATGTCATCAGTTTGAGGTTGACTGCTTACTTCCGACTACAATCATTGAGTGTCGCAAAATTAACGTAAGATTATCTGAAGTTTTCCATTAAAAAAATTAGACATATATTTCAATAATGTGCTTTCATACATTCAGATGGATGAAGATTGTTTAGTTTTAAACGTGTTTGTCCCGAAGTACATCGATTTATTCAATTCGACTTTTCCGCCTACTGAAAGACTACCTGTGATGTTTTACATCCATGGTGGATTTTTTTACGCCGGAGCTGGAACAAGAACGTCCTTAGATGGACAAGAGTTAGCCAATGTTACAAACACAGTAGTAGTCACCATCAACTATCGTCTTGGTAAGTCAGTGCTCCTTTTGTATTTTAAAATGTAGCAAATCGCGGACAAAGTGCCAAATGCTGCTTACAGAAATAAGCAAATAAGCTGTCCAAAATTGAAACTAATTTGGTATTATTGCGTAATTAATCTGGCTTAGAACATGTATTGTATTTTCTGACTCGGACCAGACTATTAGGTCCATTTTCTATTTTTTATAAGCAAGTGACCGTTACGCCTAATATGAATGACGTGTAGTTAGTATCCGCAATGAATTTATTCTCATTTAGAGCTTACTTAGATGAACTGAAACTCATTGTCATAAGATTTTAATCTTATGACATGTAAAGGATTTGAAGATATATTTCATTTCTTTATAGCTATCAAACAATTACGATTAAAATTATTTCACACAAAAAATCACAAAACTCAAGTCGAAAGATCCAAAAATTATTATATTCGATTCAAAGGACTGACAGTGTCTATTAACTTTTATATATATGACATATGCAGTTTGATAATTTTAGGTCCATTGGGATTTTTATACCACGTAGAAGAAGGAAAGGATGATATTAATGGAAATCAAGGGCTGAAAGATCAACAACTTGCCATGAAATGGGTTCAAGATAACATTGCTAACTTTGGGGGAGATAAGACAAAGGTAGATGATTGTATAAATAATTTATACAACACTGTAGATAAGGGGTTCTCAGCCTGGGGTTCGCGAGAAAATTTCTAGGGGTACTTGAATGGCAGTTGAGTTTTCATGTGTTGCTGTTTTTTAATGCCCTTTATCATCAGAGGAAAATGCGTGCCATTTGAAACTCAGCGTGGATTTTTCCCTATCTCACTTTGTTGTGACTCAACAATGTGAAATCCACAATTTTGCAGCCAAACTGTGAAATCTCAAAAGCCAGTGTGCTGTTTGCTCCTCGAATTGAAAAACTTATTCGCAATAAACAGGGGCAGCGCTCACACTAATGTTCTGTATAATTGAAATAAATACTTTGGTTTAATATCATTTAAAATTAAAAGTGGTTCCCAAACTTTTTGGCGGACCGGTAAAAGTAAATAAAATGTTAAATAAAAGTTGAAATGAGTGGAATAAAAAATAATACCATATATTTGCAAATTGATATACAATGTCGGACACTCATTATGCTTCTAAATAATTAAAAAAAGCCACACTTGAAAACATTTCACATGAATAAAAAGAAATAATGCGCCGGCCATAATTGAAATAGGTAGATCAAACTTTGTCCGACCCATGCTTTCATTCCGCGTCTTGTGAACACCTGCAGGGTTGCAACAAGCTCATATTATACTGAATGTCAAGGCGAAGCCCTGGAATATTATACTGTCTATGACTGTTTTCTGGTTTAAACAAAGAAGTATTCCTAACCTTTTAATTGGATGTTCACATTTGCAGGAAAAGCATGCAGTACAGAAAAAATACATGTGCCGATCTTTGGGTTTCTGACTCTTGCGAGATTTGACGGACACATCGCGGTGAATCGGAACCGAAAAGCGAAAAGTCTGATTACTCGACATCAAGACATCGTAGGGCCGGCCATTAATACCGCAAATAACAATATGTCGGCGAAAAAGACATTGCGTAATAAACAAACGGAACGTCGTTATTTCGGGTTCGATAAAGCGATTGAGACGGTTGAAAAACAACAAAATTTCTCGCAGGCCGACAAAAACGCTTTCGATGTCGGTCCGCGGACCAGCGGGTGGGAATCCACTGCTTCAATTAAAACACAGTTTAAAAATTGTTGGTCAATATATTACAACTTTGTTTAGTGTCGGATTACTGGGGGTTCGTGTTAATTATTTCATGACTCGGGGGTACTTAACAGGAAAAAGGTTGAGAACCCCAGCAGTGTAGACTATCTTTCAAAAATGAAATACACAAATCGAATTTTTATTATGTTGAAACAATATTATAATTATAATAAAAAGTTTTGAAAAGAAATCTCGTAATATATATATATATATAGGAAATGTAAGACAGTAATAACTGCAATCTGAAATTTATATATATGTTAGAATATATATATATAATATTCTAATTTATATATATACTGGGAATTTATTATGCACAATTTTATGGGAATCACAATTTTGTGAAGTATATATACACGATGGATAACACAGGATGAATAATATTATTGCTGACTTTGACAATTTTGTTTTTGTCCATATATGTCTCATGTTGTGAAGCACAGTTTCCAACTCGCTAAATGTAATCAGTAGTAAGTATAGTAAGTACATCAATGTAAACCTCGCCATTTATTATTTTACGCTTTTGTCATCTTAGTGGCTGTTACAATAAAACTACCATGCGGACTACTTGACGCTTAGTACATGTATAGTAATAATATACCTAGCTTCACTTTAAATATTGCCTTACTTTCTGTGACAACTATTGTTATGTCCCCTTTATCCTCATTTTAGGTAACTTTATTTGGAAACAGTGCAGGAGCGCAATCGATCATGTTTCATACATTATCCGATGTCAGTAAAAGTTTGTACTCTGGTGCAATTCAACAAAGTAATCCAGCTGTCTTCAAATATCCTACCCCAGAAGAATCTTTAAAGATTACCGGCTATCTCACCACTAGCTTACGATGCAATGAAAGTGAATCTATGCGTGATTGTTTGATGTAAGCCAATTGTTTTTTTTAAGTTTTTTTGGGGGGTATTTGTGGACGCGCGTTTCAACATATTCACAAAAGTATAGTAGCCTACATACTCAAGCCGAAATTTCAGTTTCTATATTCCCCTAATTTTTGTAAATTTTCCGAATTAAATTGATGGATTGAATAGATAAAATGATTACCACAAGTTTGTATTGATAAAGACTCATGTGAAATAACAGGGATGCGGAACCCAGAGCCATAATTAACCGGCTGGTACCGGTGAGCGGTCTGGCTCTTCTGAACGGCGACGTCGACACCTTAATCGAGCCATATCGTCCACTCATTGACGGAGTAGAATTTACTAAGCAACCTTTGGCATTATTCAAAGATGGAAAGTGGAATTCAGAAAAAAATATGATTGTTGGAGTAACTACGGAAGAACTAGAAGATATCCAGTTTTATCTTCCTGAAAATCTAACCGTTGGAAGAAGTCTTTTTACGGTTTGTTCACGCAGCTTTTACTTTAATGAGTGCTTAAGCAACAAAACAAAATTCTGCTTGTGATTAATATTTGTAATATATTTAACTTTGTAAGCATTGCCCATTTTACTGTACAATTCTTTTATAAAATATTTTTTTCCTAAAAACAATTTATTCTAATTTTTAAAGAAATTATGTTGTAACATCACCAATAAAATTTTTCACTCAAATCACAGTTGAGCAATATATGTACCTAAATATCTCATAGACGTCCTAATTATATGATATCAGGTCGACCTTATACCTTTGAAACAAAAAAACTCAATACAATATTATACAATTCGACAGAATGAAAATAATGATTGTTCCAATATAGCATAAGTTTGATTTGATAAATTTCAGGTTGTCAACTACATTATATTTGGTCCGGAAAAAACAGACACAGTTGTAAAGAAGTATGAAACAGACTATCCACCTGGCCCAGGAGAAGATTGGGCAGTTACCTTTGGAATTGAAATGACGCATCTATTTTTTATATGTCCTAGCAGGGCCATGGCCAGGTGACAAGTATTTTGAATTATAAGTGGAGAGAAAAGAATGAATAAAAAAGAGAGAACATAAACTTATTTTCTCGTCTTGTCTTAATTAAAAGCAAAATACTATATTAATGATATTTTTTTTACATCAAAGATATGCTTCGGAAAGTACAACGGGCGAAAAGAAAGTTTATTTCTTCGCAGACGACCATCCTGTACTGGATAGAGTATGTGTTGAAAGGAATGACGGAAATGCAGAAAATTGTTATTATGCGACACACGCAGACGAAATTGAATTTGTATTCAGAACAACGTGAGTGATGAAAAATTTATAATTTTTTTTTTGCAAATATTAGATAACAAGTATAAGTGGAATGGAAATGATTTTGCCCTGAACATTTCATTACATAACTTACATAACTATGGCAAGGAGACAAAAATAATTCCAATGAATGGTGAGTTATTCATAACTTGATTGAGTACACTGCTTCAATGTGATCATTTGCCAAATTAATTCGGATAATTGATTAGAAGTGATATTAGTTATAATTATATATATCATATTACAATATTTAAATATTAAACTTTTCTGTAGTAATTGTACAGCATTGTGCAAATTTTGATGAAGTTAAATGAAAACATTAAAATTCAAAAGGGTAGCGAATATATCAATATTTTTTTTTCAAATTTCAGAAATAGCATCCTGACAGACGATCTTATCGTTGAAGATCAGTTCAGTACTTACTGGGGAAGTTTTGCTAGAACAGGAAATCCATCAAACAATCTTGAAACCCCGTTAGGAGATTATCCGGATTGGCCGCATTATACTTCTCAAAACGGAAGTTTTCTCAAGTCGATAAAATTATCGGTCAACGAAGAGAGAAGTTACGACATAGGGCAAATTTATGGAAAAATTTTACCAATTTTGGTACAATCCAATAACATAGGTAAATTTATTTATTGAAACATTTTTGTAGTATTAACGAAATCTATAAAAATTAAAAAAAAAACGAAAAAAGGGGGATGATGGTAATATAAATCTACATAATCTATTTTAATGCAAGAGGCGATGAAAAGCGACAAGACGAATGTATGTGGCATATTACAAGTTAGTTTCAGTAAACGTACAAAGAATCAACACCATAGTTGCTAGAATCAAACTACTCCGATGTCCAAATTTTTAACATATTGAAATTTATTGGTAAATTCCCTGAAACGTAATATTTAAAAATCCACTAGCATTAATTTTGCAAGAAAAATCTAATGTCCTTTTCATTTCAAATTCATAATATTTAACACAACCCCAATTTATTCTAGACCGAATATATATTTTGGGTGTTGTAGGAATGTACAGTTCGGGAATGAGAATAACTAACATCAATAATATTTCAAATACATGAAAGGTGTGTTTTGTGTATGTGAGCATTTTGTTCGTCTCATACTGATGTTCTATTGGTCTCATCATGAAATCAGGCACTTATTATTCACTTTTGTTTTTTATGCAACAATTTTCAACTTATTAGCCCAATGAATCCATCTTTTCATCTGTTTTGTCTCGTAGTCTCAGAATATATTGTCTTTTTTAAAACACAATTCTTAGACTAGAAAATTTAGTAATGAGTAAAATTGTATTTTTAATTTGTTGAATATCAGGATACTGCAATTGATTCATTGAAAGGTGTTGACTTGTTGATTGCTATGATTTTCTATTAACCTATTGGAATGAACTATATATTCTAAATACTGTAAAGGTTTTCATCAATATGAAAATATGTATTAAGTTTATAGTCAGTCCCTAGCAATTATTTAAAAAAATCTTTTGGTGATATTGTTATCATCAGATGAAAAGACTGTGGAAATGTGGCAGAATATACGCATAAAAGCGCCGATCAGTGAAATTGAAACCGAATATGAAGATGACATTTGTGACTTTTGGGATAGCATAGGATATTACATGGATCCGATACCTTTGCCTACAACTACAACAATCTCAACAACGACCACTGAAGGGAATCCTACGGAACCACCCCCTGAGACAACAACAAGCAATGCGAGGCCGCTGACGTATTCAACTGTTCTCAATCTTGTGTTCTTCTCCATCTTTATCTTCATGCCCTAACACAAATCCTAAATAAAATACCTACTGTCTTGAATTCTAATCGACATTCAATCTTCTAATAAGTTGTTGAATTTTTGATGTGTAGCATGCGAGTCATAGAGAGGACGCTATAAAGCATCGTTTAAATTTTGTAATTGTTTATATATATATAAAGAGTCAACGAAATCGCTTATGTATCTATTATATACAATATATCTGCTATCATTTCGAAGCAACCTGGCTTTCGTAATACGTCAGCACGATACGTTTTCCTTTTAAAAATGCGATTGCTATATATTTTTGCTAAAAACAAGAACCATTGATGTTTCTAAACAACATATTTCGCATTTAGGCAACGCCAATTTTGAAAATTGAATATATATGATATGAACAGATGCATTATTTGATTTTGATTACAGAGGTTATATACAAGAGTTATGGTTGTATATTGTGTGAGTTATTAGGAATTAACTCACTCTTTAAAAACTGTAATCAAAGCTTGTCATATATAGTACATGCAACTTTTGTACAGCGTACAGCGGGAATTATTTCTAATCGATTAAAATTTACATATTCGCCAAAATCTAGCTGGAGAGCTGGTAGTGGCTGGGATTTATCTATTTTTACTGTTATTTCACAATGTGGTGGATCAGTGACAATGCATTTTGCGCAACTTGGCATATATCTGTGTCTCACAAATTTGTTTTTAAAAAATGTGAGAAATTGAGAAATTTTGAAGATCACTAAATTAACAAACTTTGATTTCACGTTTTTTCACAAGATAAATGGCATACTCATGACCAAACCACCTACGCGGTAACCGCAGTAATCTTCCGAGCATTCTCAGTGCATATTGGAACCTACCGTTTAAAGAAATAAGTTTTTCATATGTTGCATAGTTTTTTTTACATTGAATATGGAACATTTCAGTCAAATTTGAGAATATTCAGGAGCAGCATTACTCTCCGTTCATAAGAACAAATAATTCTTTGCAATGAAAGTCATTGTTTTGGACATTTCAAATCTCAAAGTAGACTTTGGTACGAACGACGTTTTGCAAAAATATCAAAACCCATATTCAAAGACCTTCATCTTTATTGATTCAAATGTATGCACAGTTCAATTAGCCATGCGGGTGAAACTTGATTGAATTTTGAGTTGAAACCAGTGTCTACTGTTTTTACCCACCAACTGAGATGGGACCTGTGAGGACTCCTTTGAAAATCATTTAGACAGAAATATATATTTCTAAATGTTCTGTTCAGTATTCCAAGCTATGGTTTGATAAAGATATATTTTATAAGTCACGCATCTAGTATTTATATTTAGCTCTATAATCAATCCTATATATATTACATGCAATTATTGTTCAAATTAACCTTTTCATGAAAAACTCATAATCAACATTGTGTGAGGACACACATTAACGTCCCATAAAGCAATGCTGTAACTGTCACGGTGGTACGATGAATTGGGTGCATTGCGTGACTAGTTGTATTTAGTACTTCGGTAGTGGTGAATAGTGTTGTTTCTGTTGCAGTCGGTATTGTGTAATTGAGTTGTCCGTAGTTAATACTATCCCAAAAATCACAAATTTCATCCTGAAATCCCTGTCTTACTTCACCGGATGGAGAATGGATGTACATATACAACCACGACTGGTTTCTATCTGCATTTAAATAGACGCTTTATTGCCGGTAAAATGGTAATTAACACCTACACCCTCACTCACTTCTAATTCGTCTTGAATTCTAATCGGCTTGAACAATCATCCAACGACAACAACAAATCATTGTCACAGTGCAAAACAGAAACGTTGAAAAAGATCATTTTAATTTAACAAAACTTTGTAAAATTAGATGTTTTGACCCAGACATTATGCTACGCACTGAACATGATATAAAAGTTAGGCTTATCATAAACTCCAACAAATAGTTTAAACGACTGTCGAAATTTATAAGATTGAAGTATTTATTTGTATTTTTGAGCTTTCCGAACAACATTTCCACGACAGAAACAACATGGAGTCTTTGAACTATTTGGACGAAGGTACAAATGCTTCATTTTTGACGACGTCACATTTTTGAAACAATATTAGGAATTTCGATGAGATATACAAACTAATTTGAAAATTCAACAAAAAAATATTGAATTGACGATTATAATTACCATTGCTGAATTTGTATTTTGGCCAAGATGGAAAACTTCCCAAAGAGTTGTTCAAACAGCTAGAAAGATTTCCAGTTTGTACAAAACTGCCCCAATAAGTGCTAAATTGATTCTCCACCGACAATTGTTCATCAGTATAATTGTCCGGCCTAAATAAATGATAAAATACATTTTTATTTTTTAATTCAGAACGACCTTTGGGACTCTTACCTCTCACGCATATATATTATGCTCATTTTGATTCTTTAATTACCAAAAATCTGACCTTTAAGATTGCATTTGTTATAATGGAAAACAATAGTAAATATTACCTGACTTCATCAAAAGTCCTAAAAACAAACTCAATTTCTGTCGCATGGAAAGCAAAGTAACATCCAGTCTTATTTCCACTATTATAATCAACACATGTTTCAGAGAGAACCTTTTCATCAAAGACGTAATAATATACAGAGGCAGAAGTTGTTCTCGATGCTAATCTGTCAAAAATTGTCTGTGGTAATTAAGCTTATTGGTGGGTTACAATTTTATTTAAATTAACTTGTACATTCGACAGTAACCTTGACCTCCTCCGCGCAGGAGGGCAAAAAGTTTATTTAACTACGGACTATTCTATATTGTCAGGTGCTATCGCCAGGTTGACAACTTGGGCTCCAAAACTTGGAACAAAACTCTTGTCGGTCAAAACTCGTGCCAGACTACAAACATAAGACCAACCGATCAACAACCAACGTGTAGTGAGATCTGATCTCTACAGTATTAGTATTATACGACATCTCTCATTGTACTATTACATCCACCAGAAATGGTCGAATCTTATCTGGTAAAAGTTCCAGGTATTTCCACTACCTGTATGTCTAACGCTCAATTGTTGCTTGGCTAAAATTGTATCCTGGATATTATGAGTTTCTATTTTCTATTTTTATTTTTGATTCGATGAATACACATTGCAATATGAACAAATACTTTGCCATCAGTCTGCTAGGACAATGAAATATGTATTCAGTCATTTCCTTTGCGAACGTTTCTCGAAAATCTGCCGAACTTGTAGGATAAATCTTCTTGTATTTATTGACGACAGTACTAATTATTTCTTTATCAGGAAAGATATCTGTATTCAAATTCTAAAAAGTAATGTATTCAAAAAACAATATTACTTGATATACACATACACAACGTCAACAAAATGTCGATCAATGCAAGATTTGGAAAAATTTTCTCAAAACGATTTTGAGAAAAGCTTTTATTGACATGCTTTGAGTTGCTATGATTGATTGTAGCTTCGCGTTGTGATATGTTAGAATCTAGATGTTTTCAATGCATTGATATTGTTATTAGAATTATTATGATTATGGAGATGTTAGTATTGAAGCAGAACAGAGAAACAATAAATTCCCAACTTTATGTTTTATAATTTGACATTTTTAAAATTATCATGTAAGGTGCATGACTGAAAAATGAGTTATATGTGAAGGTGATGCGTTTACATGTTCTACGTGAGGAAAGTTAAAAAGGTAAATTTCTGATATAATTAAACCAACTTACCAAAAACACTTCCTCGTCGAAGCTGAAATTTTTTGAATATGAATATGCCATATATGCCTGTTCTTCTGTTGTAACACCGATAATCATATCTTTATCAGAATTCCATTTTCCGCTTCCATATAACTCCATCGGCAAATCCTCGAACTCGACTCCGTCAATTACAGGTAGATAAGTTTCGGATGAATATAATCCATATCCTTCTTCATATTGAGTTGAGTTTTGTACTTGCATAGTTTGATTAACAATCGTCTGGGGCGCAGAATTTCTAAATGAAACATCAAAACTAAAATTCTATTTCGTTACATCTGGATGTAAACAATGTTACTAGGAAGCATTGGAATGTTGCAAGGTCATAAAAGGTATGCTTTTTTTCGATTTTGGATTTTGTTTCCGTTTTTGTAAGTAATTGCATTTTACCTATAGAAAATGTTAGATGAATTTAAAATACATTACTCTACTTTTCAATTGTTATATATATATATAATATTGGTGCTCCCGAAGTATGCGAACCAAGATGGCGGACATCGGATCGTAACATGGGTAACAGGTTAGCGTTAGGCGATAATTTTTTTCAAATTTTCCTTATTTTAGTCCTATTATCAGTTCGAAGACTAGCCAAGAGCCTCCCGAAGTATTTATACCTAACATTATGGCCTAACCCTAAACTAGTACACATATTACATTCCGATGTCCGCCACCTTGGTTCGCATACTTCGGGAGCCCCATAATATTTTTATATAAGAATATAATTTAATTTATCAATCTTCACGATGTGAACATTTGAAATGAAATTTTATTAAATGTGTTTTGAAATAGTGTTTCACCTACATTAAACAAGCTCTTTCGTCTCCGGTACATCCTAAACTTTGTAACAATCTGTCAGTAATCCTCAGTGACATCTCCGGTGAAGGATAATAAAATGAATAAGCAGCTGGATTACTTTGTTGAATTGAGTTCGTGTAAAGATTTTTACTGACTGAGGAAAGTGTATGGAACATAACAGATTGCGCTCCAGCACTGTTTCCAAATATTGTTACCTTAATAAGATCAAATAAAAAATAAGGAGAACGTACTACATACTAAAATAGAAAAATATGAGCAGTAATTGGATGTTTAACTTTCATATATTTTCTACCACGACCTGTTTTTTTTTTTGTCTCATTATGATGTTAAATATAACGGTTCGCAGTTGAAAAACACTGCAATATTATCATCATCTTGTATATTCAATGCCGTTACCAAAAAATCGGCAATATTATTTTTAACGTATTGCGTAACATAACAAATAAAGATAATATAGACTAGACTAGATGATACCCACGGTAAAACTCTGAAAGATTAAATACTATAAAACTATTTCATAGCTTCTTTGTTGTGATATTACAATGAAAATAAAATTGTTGAAAACCACATGAAACGGCACAATCATTTCTTTGTGTTCAATTGATCGTTAATGTACCTTAGTACAGGTGTGGAGGTGGATTTTTTTCGTTTGTAAATATTTGTTTTCCTTCTTTATTGGTATTCAGCTAAATGGTGCAGTTTACCATTCAACTTGTACAGCTCACCATTATTTTTTCAGTCTACATGTGTCAACATTTAATATATATACTTCATTGATTATTGCATTGATCTATTTAAGAGTGTACACTCAACCTTAGTTTTGTCTCCTCCAAAGTTAGCAATGTTATCTTGAACCCATCTCATAGCAAGTTGTTGGTCTTTCAGACCTTGGTTTCCTTTTATGTAATCCTGGCCTGTTTGTTGATGACTCAGAAATCCAAATGGTCCTGAATTGAACAAAACATTAATTTTAAAATAAAAAATTATCTACATTTCATCACTTTGTGAACTTTATGGAATCTTTATTGCCTTTATTTTCACCAAAACTCATATTATTCTTATTGCATATATAGTATCACGCGAAAACTTTGTAAAGAATAAGTTGGCTTAATACTACAGAAATTTTGAAGATGCAATCATACAATCAATCAAATAATTCCTGTCAGCATTCACCTAAACTTTTGAGTCTCTCAAGTAATTTGTTTTGCAACAAACCAGAAGTTTTTTTTAGGTGCCTCTTCCCTACATTATATTGTTACAGTGGCAATATTAAAACTTTGATAAAATGTTATAAACAAACTTGCTAAATTTTGTCGGCTAAATTTCCCCACTGGTGCCGACTGGTGGGATGTCCTTTTAAATAGATGATGTCGAGTTACTTTCGAGATAAGATAAACTTTTATTTTATTTGATTAGAATCTTTTTGACGTTTAATATTATAAATCAATATTAATTCTAAATTATGTTATATATATATATATAAACAATTTGCGTTAAACATCAACGACGACTGCAACAACAAAAGAATTATATAACGATGGATACTCTGAGATCGAGCAGTGATTATTCAGACACAGTTGTGTACAGATAGATTTACCAAATATCATTAGAATAACATGGAGCTCGACAATTCCACTTAATGATTGAATCTTCATTTAATGCTTTACAATACTTACCTTTGATCAATCTATCATAGTAATGACACAAACTATTTAAGTTTCCCTTTACAGCCGTTACAAATTCTAAATTTATTTTATAAATGTCAGTTGAACTGCATTTATTGGTAATTGGATTTCTCCACTCACCCAAGCGATAGTTGATTGTTACTACAACGGTTCCCGTAACATTCGCGAGTTCTCTTCCATCATGTCGTGGCTGTGTCGCTGAGTTGATTGTAAAAAATCCTCCATGAATATAGAAGAGAACAGGAAACCTTTCAGATGGTGGTTTTGTTGCATTTTTGAGATCCATAGATGCCGGAGTAAACACGTTCAATATAAGGCAGTCCTCTCTCATCTAGATCATTTATCATATCTTATTCTTAGAGTTTATGATTCATTATTAAACCATGAACTGTGTTGTCAATTGTGTTATTAGAAATGCAAATTGTCAAACATGTGTCAATAAAATTTAGTAATTATACTTATAATAATAAATTTATTCTGACGTGATCATATTTGTTTGACTGAACATTAAAATTGGTATATGTATTAAAATGGTATGGTATGTACCAGAAGGAAGTTGCGTTTAATATTTTTTTAAATTTTAATATTGTTTACTTTTCATAAGTTAATTCCTTTAATAAAACAAAAACTTTTAGATTACGTTTAGCCGGCATAGATCTTCCGGAACAGAAGCACAAGCTTCTTCATACTGATAACATTGAAGAAAGTTATTGTTTGTTCCATTGATTTCATTATCTGGGGTCGTGATCGCCTTTGGAGCTTTGTACCTGTAGTATAAAATAGAAAAAAATGGATGAGTCAATGTATGATTTCAGGAAATCTGAATACTTGAAATACTTTTGTTAAATAAATTTATTGCAGAAGAATATCTTCGAGATCAATGACAATTTACATCTCTGGCAACGGAGTTGTTGGCGACACAATTGTAAACTAGCTGATAGGTCGGTCCAAACTAAAAAATATTGTTCTTTCCCGTCAAAATCAGTGAAGTTTGTTGTTTCTCGAGACTCTAGTATATCACAAGAAATTAATACCGTAGACAAATACATCATTTTGAATGGCCAAATTGTACAAAAATTGAATCAAAATCTGGCGCGGTATTACCTCTTCTGGAATAGATAAGAAGATAGTTACGACAAAAAGATAGTGTATATAGCAGTCAGTTGATATGAGAATATTCGCTTCACGACTTAATTGGGAGGTCTTTTTTTATATACATATCACACATCATACACAACACCTTCTTCTTACTGGACTGATATTACCCACAAATATATTGGTTGTAGTACCTTAGGTTGCCCAAAGGTGGTTGAGCATACGGTATCTCCCAAAATGCATTTGATTCAACTGTCGTAGCTCCAGTAACGAGGCCAGACGTGGTCTGTACTTGTGGGTAATCCAGAGTGATATCTGGAAATGACAGGATTTTCTTGCTACACAACTATTGTGTTATAAAAGTAAATAAGATTACTCATAAAAGTCTCTATCGTCTTTGCATATACGTAGGAACAGACATTGAGAAAACAATCTGAACGTTCACGTCGTTTGAAGGTATTTTCGAAAAAACATTTGGTAGGCAATAGACGAAAATTGAATTAGCATATCCTCAAAGATATAGTTTATTTGCCATACTTTGCGCTCTTATATAGTGTAGTTGGAAACACACTAAATTATTTTACACCAATTACCAAACTTTTTACACTATTTTCACCATACGTCCTATTCATCCTCTGAGTCCATTAACCTTGAAGATAGCCTCTATTGAAGAATATTGTCTTAGATAGCCATAGATGTAAAATTGAATAATTTTTGTTACTAAACAGCCACTTATATTTTAATGTATGTTTCTCAGCGACGAGCATATAGCTGAGAAAAATACTTGAAAAATACCGATATAAAGTATAGTATATATTATATAACAAACCATTGATCCTTTCTGAATAAGAAGCTTTGTCTGATGTAAACTTTCCTCTTTCCTCTTTTGCAAAGCGAAGTATATCGGGAAGAAACAGTCGCAAACCTTCTGTGACCTTGTTTGCTTTACCACCAGTGATTATAATTCCTAATAATATACTTCCTACAAATACTTTGGAGGCCATTGTATCTTATAGATATATTCTGAAAATTCTAAAATATTATAACAAAACTTCAAACTGTATTCTAGTATTCGCTCAATTGATTGCTTTGTTTATGGCGTGTTTTATTGATTCAATAGCCCACCATGTGACGGTAATTGACTTTTTCTTTTGTTTGTGCAAGCTTTTGATATTGTCAATGACAACAGTGGGAAAAATAATGTTGCTGCAGATAGGTCCTGTTTCATATTCTGTATAAATTGTTAATTCTTTCATTTTTGCTATATTTTACTGATTCACAGAATATCGTTAATCTAGAAATGTCATTTTAAACTTAAAATTGTGAAACCTTCGTTTTGAAGTGGAAAAGGTATTGCGGATAGTTCTTAAAATCCAAACCAGTTAAATTGCTTGCTAAAATAAACCAGAAAATACTTCAATTGTGTTAATCATGCAAAACTGATAACTTAAACGCAACTTTCGCTCAAAGATTATAATTTGAAGATTCGAATATAGCTAATACGACCTCCATCACTTACAATACTAAATTAATCTTGCCATTTAAAACTACAGAGTTAAAAGCACCCTGGCAAACTAGATCAAAGATTTAATCATGTCAAGAAAGATTTTATGTAGTTTTTATGAGTATTATCCGAAAAAATATACTATCTCTGTTTGCCTTTTGACCGTTTTAAAGCTGGAATGCAAATATTTATTCACACCGTATTTCTTGTTTTATAACAATGTCTTTAGTGTAAATAAATTTTATTGCACTAAACAAATAAGAAAACTGAATGAAACTGAATCGTAAACTGTGATCTTTTATAACTACACCATTGCGATATACCAGAGGAAGACTGATGATAAATGAAGAGAAGAGAAAAAATTCCTTCCCGGATGCATTAAAAAAAATAATTACTTTTTGACAAATGAATAACAACGAGTTCATGGAAAGTCAAATAATAATAAAAATCCCTATTTGAAGGGCCATATCAGGTGAATTTTCAAATTTTATAATTCTGGGAAAAGTGTGTGTAATCAAATCAATAATTCTATCCCTTTTTACATATTAATTTACATTTTTACCAGTTACGGTACCCGAAAAATTCGTAAAATCACTGAATTCTTCCATAATATTTCGTTTTTTGTGGAATTCAAATTGGGAAAGAGTCAAGCGTAAAACACTGATTAGCCCGAAAATGAAATGTGGAATTGATACGGTAGATGTTGAAAGTGTCATTATTTCTAAAAAACTGAAATGGTTGTATCACCTGATTGATGAGTCGAGAGAGAGTAATTGGAAAACAATTAAACTTTATCATTTACGAGATATAGAAATACATTGTTTACTAAAAGGAAATTTATGGTATAACTCTCTCTTCATGCGAGTTGGCAGATGTAATGCCAATATCCAATGAATCATTATGGTACAACAAGAAATTGCAACATGCAAGGATGCCATTTTTTATGAAAAAAAAATGAAAAGAACAAGCAGTCTGTAAATTACACCATTTGGTGAACAGAAATTCTCTATTCCCTTATTTTCAACTGATAGAACGTTACGGTATAGAATATAATGTAAATGAGTATCGATAATTACTACTATAACTACTATGAATTAATTGGCTGCATACCAGAATGTTGGATTCTAGTGATCTTAATTGTTTACAGAATATAAATATGTTTGATTTTGATGAATTTTTATCCAGTACATTATGTGAAAATACGTGCCGCTCATCGTATAAACGTATTATAGAAAATAAATTTATTCCCACGGAAAAACAACAAGGGTTTTGGAAAGAAAATCTAAATTTACCCAACGACTTTAATTGGCTGTAATTACAATTCAACAATTGAAACTAAACTAAAATCTTATCAAACTAAATTTTTTCTGAAGGCCATTGTACTAAATAATATTTTATATGAATTTAACTTGGCGAATTCGAATTTTTGTGGATTTTATGAAAATGCAATTGGAGACCTACTTATTTTTTTATTGTCCAACCACCCAATATTTTTGGGCAAAAGTTAAATGGACATTTCGATCAACCATTGCTACAAAACCAACACAGTCAGGACTATTACCAAGTGTATTACAATTCGGGTAAAACAATGCACTTAGAATATTGCAATTCGTGATACGTACAAACAGTCCACGATACGGCGGACAACAGGTAAAAATTTGGTACGGCGAATAATTAAATGTGTGTACAACCTAATTTCATATTGGATGAATCGTTAACAACGCAGCACTACCCCAATAACTGTTTTAGACCTAGTATATCTTTGTCATCTTTTCTAATTGTTCACTTGAGAAAAATGGGAACAATTATGTAACTTATTTAAGGTGAATCGAGGACAATACTTATGTAAAGCCACTGTGGCCGATTTCCAATAAAATAAGAGCACAATTAAAATCGAGGTTATAGGTTTTGAGGTTCAGTTTATACTTCACGCTTCTTTAACCCAGAACAATACTATTTTATTTTATGTAGCATTTCTCGCACGCTGAATCGCATTTTAAAGGATTGCGTGATTGAATCAAGTCTTTTTTAGGTTTGGAACGGCTTTTATTGAATTTAAGCTATTTGCTACTCACGAACGACTAATTGATGAAAAATCGGTACAAAATATTTTTATATGTTAAAAAAAAGAAAATATTGTATTTGGGGTTATGTATAATGTTTTCACCTAATTTTATTTGTTAAATAAAAACTATCGAGCAATGTAGAATAGGAAATTTTACACAGATAAAAAGTTTTTTAAGGATTTAAATTAAAACTATGATTGATATACAATTTTACGAAAAAACGTAGAATTTAAAAATACCAACTTTTTTACCGATTCTTCGAATTTAGACGCAAAAATTATAGAAAAGAAAGAAAGTGAAGACAATTTTAATCGTGATTTGGCATCGAAATATCTGCAGGTGTGAGGTTAAACATAACACTATCAGTTTCGAAGTAAGCATATTCTGAATATTTATCTGCATTAGTTAGGTAGTTAGAACAACAATAATAAAGCTCGGAAATTTTTTTTTTCAAATTTATTTTTTACTTTATTTATTTCACATGCTCTATCTTGAATATTTCAATATTGTTCTATGAATATTAATTTTTGACATTCAATCATTTTTTATATAGACAGAGTAATCTCAAATACAAATTTATCAACATTCAAATTTTATTATAAGGGTTTTGCAGTGGCGGCGCGTCAATAGGGCCAACCGGGGCAATGCCCCGGTTGTTTTTTCGGTATAATAAAAAATATTCGAAAAATACCTCAATATCGGTTGCACAGACTGTCTACACTAGCCATATTCTCCCGACATGGTTCATTTTTCGCTCGCAAAGCCTTCGCCGAACGTCGACGGGGCGACGCCGATTTTGCCCCGGTTGCTCATTGTATATCGTATTCTCTCTTTTATCTTCCACTCGCCGCGTTTGTCTCGTTTGTTTTCTGTTTCTTTTACTAAATCATCGGGGCCGATCGGGGCTAGCCCCGAAATTATGACGACACAATGCCGACGTTTCTTACAACAACGTGTTGACATATTCACGCATTTCTTCTCGTTCGTTGGTTGCTTGAAGAGTTGATAGTTTCCTCGCCTTCGCTTTTGTCGCTTGTTTCGCTATTTGAATCAGTTAGAGACCTTTAGTCCATTTGCTTTCGATTTTCCACATT